GTCTTGGTTGGGCTCCCAGACTGAGATGGCTGCATGTGAATTTCCACCTGAGCACAGCTTCCTGCTGCCCCTCGTACTGCCTTCTCCATGGGGTTGGTTAGTCCCAGGTAGGGGCTGGGGATTTTCTCCCCTAAGCTCTCAGGTCAGAGCAGTGTTCCTTGTCTGCCCTTCACACCTTTGGCTGCTCACCCTGCCTGGTTCATCTCCTGGCACTGAAAGCAGGGTCACTCTCTGTTGCTCACCTTGGGGCTGTGTGTGACCCTAACGGGATCCTAGTTATCCAGAGGTAGGAGCACAAGCCCCCCAAGGGGATCCAAAGATCAATGAGGAGAGAGGAGGAATGACAGCAAAGACTGAAAGGAGATGAGTGAAGAGCCACAGATGTGATTCCCGTAGTGGTGAAGAAAGCCCTGCGATGAGAGCCTTGTGGAACTTGATGTGTGAAAGGTTTGGGAAAAGATGAGTAATTTGCATTAATATTGCCTTGGTGGGGGAATTGGGGTGTAATGGAAAAGAAACATGCAAAAGATTGAACTAGTGGCTGCCAAATCTGCCTCAGGAGATTGCTCATGTCTTGGTAATTTCCAATCAGGATTCAGATGATTTGCTGCAGGATGTGTCACTGTGCAGCCCCAGTGGAATAAACAGGCACAGCCAGCCCAGGACTAAGCCATGGTGAAGGCTCACTGCAAACCTCCAGCTGTGGAGGGAGGGAAAGGAGAGAAAGGCTGAGTAGAATGACAACTGATTCAGGTTTTGTCTTACCCACCTCCCAGGACCTTGAGATCGCATCCCAGAACTGCACATGACATCTCCTCCTGGACTTTGGTCAAGAGATGTGAAGCTGTCCATGAGGCTCAATGCCTTGATCCACTGGCACGTCCCAGTTGGTGGCCAGAGACCCTTGTGGGATGGTGGGAGCCGAGGTGGCTCTGCTGTGGCAAAGCTGGGTAGTGGTAAGGTTTGTTTGTGGAGCCCAGCAAGTGCTGGGAGCCAGCTGCAGTTGCTGCTGGACTGGGCTAAGCACCACAGCAGGGAGAGGAACGGCAGCATCCTCTTTCTCCTCCCGAGGCTTTTGTTCTGTTTGTGTGCCCCACATGGATACTGAACAGGCAGTTCTGTCTTCACTCTTTGTCCCGATGGGACAGGCAGGGAGGAAGGAGAGATGCAAAGGTGATGCTAGGATCCTCCCCACCCACCCATCGCACTGCGCCGTGGGAGGCAGCGCTGGTACTGCCAGCCCTGCAGCTGCCCCGGGTTTTGCTTTCCCCCACTCCTCCCTTCTCCTTTCACAAAATGAAAACCAGAGCCTCGCCGGGGCGTTTACTGTGGTTTTGATGGGTGCAGGCCCCCGCACCCTGTGCAGGGAGAGCAGCTTTCAACACTTGGTGGAGAATGGGGGATGTTCTGCTCCCTTCCGCCGTGACTCAGGCAAGAGGGGCTTGTTTGGCACGGCTGGGGCTGTGGGCCTCCCCACACTGAGCTCTATTTTTAGGAAGTTGGGAGAAGTAGGTGCAGTCTTCACAGCAAGAAGTTTCTAGTGCCATTTGTGGTTTTGCAGCTACAGCAAAGCTCAGCATCAGCAGTTCTGAGGCCAGGTGCTCTCTGTGGCTCAGCATAGCAAAGCTGGCATTGTCACCCAGATATGGCATAAAAGCCACATGCCCTTTGGGGCCCTCCATCCTTTGTGGGGTCACTGGGGCTTGTTTCTTTGCTGTTCATTGCCCTCCACCCATCTCAGTTCCCTGGGGAAAAGGCTGGCAGGGGGGTGCAACCGTGGATTGTACAGAAGAGCAGGGAGGTGAGGGGATAAGGAGGGAAGGGGGCACAGGGGGCAGTGACCCTTAGAACAGGGTTGCTTAGAGGGACAACAGCACCCCAGTGCCAGCCCCTGTTGTTCTTTTTCTATTGTTCTTTGCTGCTCTGGATGGTGGCAGAGAAGATGGCTGGAGGGGCAGGTGTTCTCTCACATCTGCAGGGAAAATGCAGTGGAGATGACACTGTACATCTGATCTGACCTAACTGCTGGGACCACCTGTGTTCACATCTGCTGGAGCTTGGAACTTTTGCTTATCTCCACATGGTTTTCTCCATGGCTGAAGACCATGACAAGCAATGGGACTGCAGCCTGCCATTGCCACCATGGTGGCTATAACCAGCATATTCTGCTCTTTTCTTCCACAAGGGGATGTGACTTTCACAAGCATTGACATGTTTTTCTCTCCCTGAAACTGCTTCTTGCTGCTCTGGACTCCAAGAATTTTCTATTATTCGACTGAGGTAGATAGTGAACAGAAACCATAATGCAACCTTTCCTTTTCTGGGTGCTGGTGATGTTTCCTGCTCTGGCTATTTCTGTTCCCTCTTCCTCTCTGATGACAGGGTTGTCCTGGATACATGAGAGCTAAGAAGATACAGGAGAGTGAAAAATCTAAAGAAGTGAAAAATCAAGTGGCAGAAAAGTATTTATTTCCCTTCTGCCCCTAGCCCTGGGCTGAAGGGACTTAATTTAGGTTTCTCTCATAGATTCCTTTTTGCATCCCTCCCACAGCATTGCAGGCAAGCCCCTTTTTTGACTCAGAATAAAATCTTCTTTTCGAGTGTATTGTTCTTAGCACTGCACAACACCCAGCTTTTGTTAATCATAAGGAGCATGTGGGGCAAACATCACATTTTAAAAAGCTAGTCAAGAAACCACAGCATGCGCCAAAAAAAACCCAAAAAATCACTCTCCTCTCAGCAGCTTTCACCTTGCTGCCTTCAGAGATGCTCCCAGACTTTGACAGATCACTGGGGCAGGCAACCGGATATTTTCTCAGTAAACAAAACTCAGAACCCTGAATACGGATGGAGACAATTTGCTGATCAGTGGAAATATCACAACTAGGGCAATAGGAATGCAAGCAGTGGATCACATTTTCCCATTGTCTCACCCAGGGGTTATCTGGCTGGAGGAACTGTACCAGTTTGAGTTCACAAGTGGGTGGGTACGGTTACATTCAGACAGTTTGGAGACGTGAAAGAAAACCTGGTTGGTTTCTTGGTGATGGGCTCATCACCAGGTGAAAATGTGACTTCATCTTCCCTGGAATTATCCCATGAAGGCAGACTGTTCCTTCTGGTGTTGGGTTCTCTCTTCCTTGCCCATCATCTCTCAAGTCCCACTTGCCCTAAGACTGTGTTCCCCACTTTGCTATGCTCCCCCATATTCCTACAGCAGCCAGGAAGTGCATCCCCCCCAATCCTACTATCCATGTGAGGTGGCAATAGAGCATGTCCCAAGGGGCCAATAACCCCACATATCCTGCAGCAGGGCCCTAGGTTGCCTGGCTCTGAACAGCAATGGTGCCGGAACAGCTCCTTGGGGGTCTGCCTGCCACTGGACTTGGTCAGCTCCCCATGTCTGATCCAACATTCCTGGCAGAGCAGCTGTGGAGGTCCAGGTTGAGCCATAGAAACTTCAGGACCAGGTGCTGCAGAGTGGACAGCTCGTGAGGGTTGTTCCCTGCCAGTTGCAGCAACAAGGGGTTGGATTGCTGGTATGGAGAAAGGGTTTCCTGAAGAGGAGCTGCTGCTACTGAACCTCTGCCAGGATCCCCACTGTCATATTTTCCGCCTGGTTTCTCCTATCAGGGTGCCGCCAAGGAGCAAATCAGTTTCCTGGTTTGCAGCACGGGTAGCCAGTGATGTTTTGTGCTGGGTACCTAAAACTGGAGCCTTTCCCATCCTTCTCACCAAACTTGCCAGCCCATCCAAGGCTCCAGCCTCCATCAAGAAGCATGCAATAGGACCAGCGACATGCTTGGGCTTTTCAACATTTCCTACAGGTTCTTCTCATTTCAGTGAAGCAGATGGCTCTACAGAAATGTTTTTGGAAAGACAGAAGGGGAGCTGACCCGGAGCTGGCAGCCTCTTCCCAAAGGATGAGCCCTACCCCTCACTGCAGAGGTGTGACAGTCCTGGCAAGCTGAAGGGTTACACGATTCCAAAGCACCAGCCAGGGACTCAGCCCCAAGGCATCCTCTGTCCTGTTACTCAGATGCTGCCCACAAAGACCCTGGAGCCATCGCACACTTGTGATTAGGATGTTATATTTAGGAGTACAGTGACCTGCTAAGTTCAAACCCTGATGATTCAGTTGTAGAGGTGTTTGTGCTTTGTTACCAGCATTTGCCTTTGCAGCTCACAGCACCTTAACCACACAGGGCAGGATGCGGGAGAGAAGGCAGATAGGACAAGCAGAGGCTGGACTCCATCCTGCAATGCTCAAAGCAGCCCCAAAATGCACTGTGTATCCTCCTCTCCTGGGGCTGCTGGCAAGTAGGACCTGTTCAGCTCCCCCCCCCTCCCCCCTTCCTCGGCAGGATCCAACCTTGTATTGGCTGAGTGCACATGTGATAAGAACATCTCCTCTAGCATACCACTCAACACATTCTTGCATCCCCCCATCTCTGCATCTCAACAAACCCCCACATTTATTCTCTTTACATGGAGAAAATGAGGTCTGCTCCCTGTTGCAAGCAATGAGGACCCCCTGGTATTTACTTAGTAAATTATTTTAGCAGCGTTACATGTACTCATGAATGTTGGATTCCTGAAGAGCTGGGAGGCAGGACCTCACCTCCCTGCAGCCAGCTTGAGAGGGGTCAGGGTGTAGAGGAGACATGGGTTTCTCAAAGTTGCATGGCAGTGATGCTGGGAGGTCAGAAGCTGGCTGGAGTATCTGGCATTCCCAACAGCCTTTTTCATGCCTAGGTACATAGATACAGGTAACAGGGATAAGTGGGGCCGGGTATGAGATGGCTTGTACCCTTGGGTTCAGAGTGAGCACCTCACTAGAGTATCAAGAAAAATGCTTAAAACTTGTCTCTCCAAACTGATGGCCAAGCACCAAGCCCGAAGTCTCATTGTCTGGTGAGGAGCATGAAAGCTGTGCCCACACCAGGGTTACAGTGTCTGTACAGATGGTCCTTTCTCCTAGATCATCCAGCCTACCCAGGCAGAGACATCACCCAGGGGGAGTACAAGGGAAAGCAGAAACCAGCACAATGCACTTTCCTCAGCCTAGCATCTTCCAAGCAGAAATCATCCTGCTCTCAAAGGAAATTAAAAGGAAAAAGCTATCCTTCCCCTTTTGAGAAACAACCAAATTTCTGAGTGCTTCCCAGACCCTGGCAGCCCACAGAACTGCTCAGCAGTTCTGTACTTGTATTCAGTCTACATTATTTTTAAGACAACTTGCCACAAAACTTTCATCTCCAACAGTAAAAAAAAACCCATCAGGGAATATTTTTGAGTGATTCAAGGGCAGATATGAATATACAAAATAAGAACCTTTCTCTGTTTCTGGTAGGACAGTAGGAAAAGGTATGGAAGTGCAACAGAGAAGAAAGTCTAAGCAACTTTTTTGTTGCTGTTTGTTCTGGGAGATGGTAGTGAACAAACCTACCCACTACGAAGAGCTTTTCCAGGAAGTGTAGGTTGCTGTACCCTGTATCCCTTGAGCAGCAGGTGCTCGTACAACAGTTCTCATGCTGCTTGCAAGCAGAGAATTTGGAGGAGCCCCAGCAACGTGCACGAAGGATGAACGAACCCTATGGCCCTGAGGCACCCCGTCCCATCAGCAGCACATCTCCTGGCACCATGAAAATGTTCATGGGCTTCCTCACTGTGTTTACCATAGTGCAGACCATTGGGACCGTGCTCTTCTGTTTGTATCTTCACATGAAGATGGATAAGGTAAGCAGAGAGAGAAGTTTGTCCCTGATGGATTGCTGGCATGCTTTGACTTTCGGTCTGGTGAGATCTGCTCACCAAGAGGATGAGCATGGTGGAAGATGGTGCTGACCACTGGATGGAGGCAGCAGTATCATTTATCACACTCATGTTCCCATATCTGCTTTAATTTGCCACGAGACGTATGTGGGAGATCTGTTCCCCTTGCTAACAAAAAAGAGAATGACCAATCGCCAAGAGACATTTAGAATAAATCTGGCAGCTGATGGCTAGTCTGAGGACAAGAGGGTGGGGTTTAGACATGCAAATGGCTGTTTTAGGTTTGGTGGTGGTTTTTCTGATTTTGTAGCACTTATTAGCACTGTGATATTAACTGAGAAGATGAAAGGTCCAGAATTTTTTTTTTTTTCATGTTTCAGTGATTTTATCAACATCTCACCTCAGGTGCTGTCTTTCAGTTTAGGGAAGAAAAGACTGGACCTTAGTACTTTTTCCATTTTTGAAGGTACACAGTAGCAGTGATCCTGTTCCATACTTGGGACAATATCTCTCAAAAAGTTAAAGTCCAGAATGCTGTTTTTGAGGTTTGTATGGCTGCAGCTGCACTGCATGATGCCTAAAACCACCATTCTAAAGCTACCTTCCTTCAAGCCAGAAATGACTGCCAGCTAAAGAAATATGTGCCTAAAACCCAGAATTTTTCTTACCTGATACAGTGATATGGTGGAGGTTACTGATTTTTACAAGTGTCATTTCAACTTAAATTGAAATTTAGATGTGTGGTTTCTGATCTACAGAGCAATGTTGAGCTAGAGGGGCTTTAATATCAGAGGGCTGGAAGAGGACTTCAGTGCATGGAGTTTGCAGGCTGTCATGAAGGAATGTGTAGAGTATCTGTGGCAGAGGGAAATGTGACTACAGGCCGAGGATCAGAGGCAGCTGAAATGCAGTCACAGTTGGCAAAAAGATTTCAGTTGCCTTCAGTGCTTGTGGCAGGGCTTCGAATCTGATCCTCCATATCTTACTGCTACCTGTGCTGAGCTCTCTGCCCTGCTGTGTGTCCTCATATCCAGCTGCACTTTCTCTTTACCATTTAATGGTATGTTAGGTTTTTACTAGGAAGAAAAAAAACAACAAAAAACCAAACAGGTGTAAATATAAAAATCAATATTTGGATGCATTTAATTATCTTCTTATTGGCTTTCTGATTTTTTGTTTTTTAATCTGAAGATCTTGGCACAGTTTAGCCCCAACCTACATGTTGTTTTGTTTTGCTGGCAATGCTTTTAGTCAATAAGTGAGCAGAAAAAATTAAAACCCCTCTGTGTGGACAGGGCAGTGAGGGGATGGGTGAGCAACTCAGCTGCCTGCTGAAGCCATTGGGGAAAGACCTGCAACACCCGAGCCCTTGAGCCACCCATTGGGATTTCTGTGCCTTTAGGAAAAGTCAGAGATGGACATTTAAATGAATTATCAAGGTGATAGAAAATAGATCCTGAGCAATCCTTCTGACACCTAGATTTATCATTCATGGTGAGCTCCATGAGTTCAATTCCCAGTGGATGAGGGAATTGTTGGGTGTTGCTGTGTTGGGTGTTGCTGTGTTGGGTGTCTGGTGAGTGCTCTTCCTGCCCACAGTTTGTCTGCCCACCTCATCCCAGTGCTGAACATCTGATCCTGAGCTTCCCTGGATTTATTGCTAGTAGGAATGCAGCATGGCTCTGCTGCCAGTTGTTGCAGGTTTCCTACTAACATCCTGCTGGCCCTCCCTTCTCTCCTATGTTGGCAGATGGAAGAGGTGTTGAGCTTAAATGAAGATTACATCTTCCTGAAGAAAGTACAGAAATGTCAGACAGTAGAAGGTCAGAAGTCGACATTATTGGACTGTGAAAAGATTATAAAGGGCTTCGAGGACATACAGTGCAAGGTATATGCTGTTGAGTGGATAAAGACCCCACTGAAGAAGGAGAGGGGCACCCAGTCACACATAGAGCTTCACCCCAAGCTTTTTTAAAACCATAGGTGCCCTTTAGTTTCGGGCTGTGTAGCACATGCTTTTTTCGATACTGTATTCTTCTTACACTATATTGATATTATTGAAAAATCTCATTGATTTTTTCCTAAAATGTTCTTGATCAGAGCACATCCAGCTGCAACATGCCGTGGTGTGTTTGGGGATTGTGGTGGGCAGGATGGAGCTACAGCCACCTTGGCACTACTCCCTGATTCCAGTCTGAAAAGAACTTATTTTCTGCTTTCTGGCACCTTGCTCCAGTCCTGTGCTAGGTGGCTGCGAGGATGCTTGTGGCCACCTGCCACTGGGAACACATTTCTGTCCACTTTGCCCAGGTATCAATGACAGTCCAAGGTTTGGGCAAGGAAATAGCTTCTGGCAACCAGTGAGGAGGAGCACGATCACATTTGGATGCAGAAGAGTCAGTTTGCATTGCAATGTGCATTGCAATGTGGTGCTCTCATCCTGCTCATCCCTGAATTCACTGCTTAGGAGTGGCTGTGCTGGCCAGAGTAGACAGGAGAGGAACATTTCTTCCTCATTGTCACTGCCTGATGACAACAAATACCTCAGCTAAAAGTGCCTCAGCTAAATCTTCAGGTTTGCAACAGTACCCAACAGACCACCAAAAATTATGTCTGAGGTAGGCTGTGCTCAGCAGTCCCGAAAACCCCAACTGCAGGGCAGGGATGTACATTGGCAGCACTTGCATCATGGCTCTTCTACAGGAAAAGGAGATTTTTCTTGTTTGTTTATCTTATTGTTTTCAATAAACTTTACCCATCATTTTAATAACACCTAAAACCATAAAACCTATAAATCCCCTGCTGCAAACAGCCCATTGTCATGTGTGAAGCTGGAAAAGGTACAAGAGGAGCTCTCTGGCTTCAGGTATCCTCTGTCATGAGCTAACAGGGCTGTTGGAGCCAAATATCACCAATTCCAGCAATGACCAGAGCATCTTTTATATATAAATTTTCAAAATCACTGATTTTGAAGAAAAACCCATATATTTTTTCTGTTGTAACAGGACAGACCCCCCAAGGAGCAGCCCAAGTTTGAAATGCAGAGAGGTGAGTTTCCTGGTGTAACCAGTGCACTCATGGCTTGCTGGAGCAGGAGGAGTTCCTTGGCCTGGGAAGGGGTTTCCTTCAACAGCCCATGAGTTTCTCAGGGCATGGTGTGGAGGCAGAGGACAGGTTGGGGTTTGAAGCATCCCCATGGATGTAGGACCAAGCTCAGTGTGGGCTGGTAAAGGGGGACACTGGGCATGGCTATCTTCCCAGGGCAGGCAGTTCTGGGTTCCAGAATAGATGGTCTGAAGTTGTTGAAATTGAGCCCGAAATTAAATTTGCGGCCTTTTTACATCACAGGTCCTGAGCACCATGAGCATTCCCGTTTGATGCACAAGAATGAGACATCTGTGGCAGGTGAGGTTTGGGCACATCCAGGTCCTGTTCCAATGGCGGGCAAGGTGGCATCATCTCCACAGGCTTCATCCATCAGAGGCTTCCCCTCAGAGGCACCTGCAGGTCTTTGCTGAGTGGAGTCCTGTCTCATTCTGGGCTGGGAGTGGAATCTGGAGATGTAGAAAATCTTGGCCTGTAGAGAGACATTAAGGGTGGCAGGTGCTGCAGTCCCTGCAGAGGAGCCCTGGGGAAACAGGCATCAATAACACTGGCCTTTCTAAATTGCAGCAGAGAAGAGGGAGCCAATTGCAGTTCACCTGGCAGGTCAGCAGAGCAACAAGGCAGGCTCAGGTAAGACAGACTCACTGGATCCTACCTCATCCAGGGAGCCAGAGGGACACAGCAGTGTGCATTCCCAGTCCTGCCCTGCGGCTCTCTAAGGGCAGGGAAAGGGACAGAACAATACCAGCACAAAACTGTGTCCCCAAACAACAGCAAATCTCCCAGTGGTCACATCGCCACGTGCACCTGTGCCATGTGGGGTTCACACATCCCAACTGTCCTCAGTAGCCCTATGTGTGCCCATCCTAGAAATGCACCACAAGGGCTTAATCTTTACAGTGTTTTTTATAAGTGGAAAATGTCTTAATGTTGTATTTAAGGAAAACAACTTCCCACTTCTTTTGTTCTTAAAATAGATATTTTTGCTCTCCTGGCCATCTCTTGCTAAGGTGGCTGCTGCAGGAGGGTTCTGCTTGCATTTGCGTCTGCTGATCTAATACTCTTCTCACCCATAGTGGTCCTGGTAGTAAGATGGGCTGGCTGAGGGCTTTACCGTTGCAGCATAGGGCTCCAAACTGGTTTAGTCAAAGTGCAATTATTCACAGCCATGGCCACATCAGGTTTCAGAGAAACACCTGAGTCCTTTTGCATTTGTGCATCCCACTGTATTGACTGTGGTTGCTCTTACCTTAACTGAGGGACTTCCCACAACAGCAAGGATTACCAAAGTGAGTATGAGCTTGCAAGGTCAGTCACTCCATCTGGCAAGGATTTCACAATCTAAGCACTTCTGATTTAATTCTGGAGTAACTGACAGTAATCGGCAACTGCTCTTTCCATCTCTGACACAGCATTTCAACCAGTGCTCAGTCTACCTGTGGAAAGCTTAGTGTTAGATAAGATCAGAGAAGTAAGAAACTCACTGAATTTTAAAACGCTGCTCAAACACTTATTGAGCCTATAAAGCAGGGTCCAGAGAGCAGCAGTTGCGTGGAGTTCAACTCTGTGTGGGGAAATGTCCCTATGGGAGGCTTGGTCAGGGCCCATGGGCTGTGTGGGTCCTCCAGGACTACCCATGGCACACTGTCTCTGGGCTGGGGCAGTCAAACTCATTATTCCCCTTGGAGCCAAGTTGCTCCCCCTGGCTGCTCTTCCAGGTGTCTCTGTAGGCTGGGGAAGGCAGATGTCCAAATTCCAGAGGTTGTAGCTGAGCTCAGCCCCTACAGCCATGGCTTCCATGTCTCTGTATAGGCTTATCTGCACAAACCACATGAGCTACTCTGATGACATCAAAAGTGTCCCAAAACCCATGGCATCACCTGATCTGTGTGGGCCATGGTCCTGGCAATGGGAAGGAGCACTAACTGTGCTAAGCCCTTACTTAGGTAGGGATAGCAACTGTGCAAAAATGTTAATTTTTGTACTTCCTTGGTAAAGTCTCACCATCACCAGAGGCTGAGAGGAAGGACTCTGGAGAAAAGGCAGCCCCCAGCTGGAAAAACTGGGATGAGAGGCTCTGAAGAGCAGAGTTGCAGCATATTTTGGTAGTGCTCTGAGGGCTTGAAGGTTGTCCCACTGAAGTCCATGAAGGAAGCAAATGGAAGTGACACAGTGTTTGGTCTGCTGCAGTAAACACAGGCAATCCTCTTCCCTAAGCATTTCCGCTTGGCTGGAAGAAGGAAGCTAAATGTACCTCCACTCACATATCCAGTCAAGGCTGACAAAGCCAGTGATCAGCAACATGGGTTAAATCTGCTCCAGCCTTGGGGAAGGGTACCTGCTCCCCTGGGCTGGGGGATGGTGTCCTGGACTGGGTACCCCACTAACTGCACCCCATGCACCCAAAGACAGACGCTTTGATACCAGATGTCTGTGGGTGTCCCCTCAAATCAGCCTGCCAAAGTGGAAATGTCCTTCTCTGAGCTCACCTACTATGCTCTCTCCCTACAGTGCTGGAGTGGAGGGAGACCATGTATGGCCCCACAAACAGCTTGATATCCAACAAGGAGGGGAAACTGAAGGTGGAGGAAGCAGGGCTCTACTACATCTACTCCCAAGTCAGCTTCTGCACCCCGGAAGTGTCTTTGGCACCCTTCACCCTCTATATTTATTTACATATCCCCAAGGAAGAGGACCGGCTCTTGCTGAAAGGACAAAAGACACAGAGCTCTTTGAAGACACGTGAAGAAGGACACTTGAAGACCCTCTGTGAACTCCAGTCCATCCGTGTGGGAGGTGTCTTCAACCTCCGGGAAGATGACATGGTCTTTGTCAATGTGACAGACTCCACAAAAGTGAGGTACAGCCACGGCAACACCTACTTTGGCATCTTCAAGCTGTAGTGAGGAAAGGGCTGTCCTGAGCTGGGAATCCAGCCCAACTTTCTTGAGCAAAGTGCCTTTCCCTTTTTCCCTTATTTATGTTCCTCTGCCTCTCTGTTTTTCTCAGTTTTTAATTTGTATATTTTGTTATTTATTAATGAGGGCCAAAGGGCCCTGAGAACACAAATAGAACAAAGTTTGAAACTGTTATTATTTGCTTCCAGTTTTTATTCTTTTGCAGCTAGTGATTTGGTACACGCTGGTGTTGTGTGTCTGGGTCCACCACACCCCACGTTCCTGGCAGGGTCGATGTCCCTGTTATGTCATAAGAGCTTGGTTTACCAAACTCTGCCATCAATGTTTCTTTCCTAGAAATGTAGGATGGCTCAGGGCACTTCAGCCAAGCTGGGTTCATACATATCTTCAGCACCAATCTGCTTACAAACATCAATGGAAAAACATAAAAAGGCTTAGGAACATCTCTAAAGGAATGAGTAAGCCAGCACTGTCTTTACATGGTAGCTGCTGGTGAGGCAATGTTGCCACTCCAACTGTCTGCTGTATCTGGAGAACCCCTTTTTTTCCATCCATGTCTGTCTGTGAAACTCAACCCACTTCCTCAGGGTGGCACTGCCTTGGCTGGGGTCATACTTGGTGACAATTGCTCCACACCAGAGGGGTGATCAGTGGCTGAGGGAGGACTGCAGATTTCAAGGCAGAGAGAAAGTAGGGCACTAGTAGTGGTTTGCTCTTGGTGACCTGAATCTGTTCACCAAACTGTCCTCCCACCTCTGCAGGCAGAGGAACCTTTGCCTGTGGACAGTTTCACTACCCTGTGGAGGGGCACTGGGCACCACCAGCAAAACTGGAGCTGCACCTTCTCCTGACATCCCTCCTACCCAAGGAGGAGGACCAGGAAACTACAGGGCTGGCAGAACCACCTACTTCTTCCCTCCAAGGCACATGTGCAGAGCATCTTCTGGCTGTCCTCAATGAGGACATGTCCACAGGGGCATTTTTCCTGGAGCTCCAGGAGAGCAGGACTGTGCAGATGCCCTCTTGGGCAGGGGATACCTGGGTGACACTGGACACTAGGGTCTTCCCAACCCTATTCTCCAGCTTGGCCTGCAGGGAAGGTGATCAGGGCAAAAGGACATTGATTGCATTTTAAAAAACATTTGAAGATAGTACATGTGACAAGCCTGGAGGTTTTGGTTATACAGGTTACACTTAGTCAAAGTTGGGAAATAATCTTGGATGCCACCATGTTTGCAAATGGAAGAGCTTCCAGATTTGGACAGTCTTTAGGCTTTGTTGTGCTGGAGGCTGCAGATCTAGTCCTAACACAGTGCCCAAATGCCACCACTGGTGGGATAGAAGGGGCATTATTTTCACAGGTCATTGCCCAGCACAGTCCTCTTCAAAGTCAATAGAGCTCAGGGACTGTTTGATATCATTATAATTTACTATTTTTTGGCTGTTCTCCAAAACTACCTAACTTCTTTAGGGGATGGACTTGTATGAAGACTATGTATTTAACTAAACCAATCTTTTATTTGTAACCAGAGAGACTGAGTGCCAGAGGACTGTGCATTATGCTGTGTTTTGCAGCATAATTCAGTGTTCGTGGTTCCCCCTTCCACAGTGTAGGGTTTCTTCCACTGATCACCCCACAATAAATACAATTTATGGATTCAGACATAGGTGGCTTTGTATGTTTTGAACACTGCTCACCCTTCCCAGCCCAAGGCTGAGATTTCACAGGGTCCTGCTTGGGGTCTGGGGACCAAGAGGGCAGTGGGGTGGCACTGGGGGTCACAATGGGGACAACCAGTCCCAGAAGCCTCCAGGGGCAGCCATTCCACCATGCCCCTTGGAGCACGTTAGGGTGCCAGGACCAGGCAGCACTAGGGACATTTTGGCAGCAGAAGGAAGAAGAGCGCCCTGTTCTGGGAGGGCAGTGAGACACCAAGGCTGAAGCCCATAGTAAAGCTATGAAACAGAGGGGTGGGGACTAGTTTTTAATGGGATTTAGGACACCTGACTGAAAGAGAATTATTTCTACCTGTACTAAGGTCATGGAGCACGCAGGGATGTCTCTACTTCAGAGCAGAGGGATGGATGCTGCACATACTGTGTGTGCAGCTGAGCAGCTTCTGCCTCCCAGGGTGCCCTGTGGTGGTGTGGGTCTGACCACATCCCTGCTGCTGAAATGCAGCCAGCCCTGTGGACTGGGCTTCTGGAGGCAGTGCTGGGCTGCCTGAAGAACCACAAACCTCCACAGGGGAGCTGGAGGTGCTCGGTCATGGTGGGAGTGTGGGTGGAAGCTACAGGAGAAACCAGAGATGGTGCAAACTAGCATGGCCCGAGACAGGGGGAGAAGCTTGGAGCAAGTGGATGGGGAGGAGAGAGCTGTGAAGAGTGTGTGTGTGGCTGAAAACAAGGAGTGGAAAACCTGCTTGCCACAGGCAGGGAGAAACTGTGATCAGTGCACACTTTGAAGCCTCCTGCAGCCCCCAGTCCCAGTGGCCAGGACCACCTGCCAGAGACCTTGGGCTGGGCTGTGGTGCCCAGCCCAGATCACTGAGCAGGGATCCAGGAGCTGAAAATTGCATGGTTGAGGAAAACCATTAAAGAGGGGAGGAAAAAAACAGTCATTAAACAAATCCATAAATTCTGCAGCAAGGGCAGCAGATACCAACTGTCACCTCCCCTGCCTGCGGGCTGCCTGACCAGCCCCAGACCCTGCCCCCATGGCTGCCTTTCTCAGGGCTTTTGTTTCTTGCCTGTTTCTTGACATGCCAAAAATAGTCCTTGGGATTCAGATGTGAGGTAGCGTGTGATGAGAGGGGACAAGGTACAATTGCTGCCATTCACCTGTGTCCTTCCCCCCCATCCCTGCCTGCTGCCGTAGCTGGTGCTGTTTCCTGCTGTTTAAAGGTCGTCAATACAATGATTTTTGACATGAGGACTCTATGCCAGTCCTCAGGCTGTGGATTTTACTGTTTCCAAATTGATTTTTGTTTTGAGTTAAGAAGGGCTTGAGCGGGTAATGAGTTTGCAGGGCATATCAGCAGGACTGGCACAGGGGTGATGGATGAGCAGTGACAGGAACAAGCAGCAGCATGGGCATCTGCTGGAAGAAGTGTTTGCATGGTTCAATACACACTGAGCTCACAAAAAAAATTTATATATATATATATATATATATATATACACACACATATTTTATATATATATATATCAGGTTGCTCCAAGCCCCATCCAATCTGGCCTGGAACCATTTTTCCAGGAATGGGGCAGCCACAGCTTCTCTGGGCAACCTGTGCCAGGGCCTCACCACCCTCACAGGGAAGAATTTCTTTCTCATATCCCATCTAACCCTGCCCTCTGCAAGTTTCAGACTTCAGTGTTTTGATATGATGCACCCTAGGCTAGTTTTTCTTTTTTCCCTTGCTCTTTTTCCTACTCTGAGTGCTGTGTTTGGGGAAGGAGAGGAGGATACAGCCCTCCTGCCTTCAATCCTTCACTTCTGCTGTGGACTGAAGACTGTGGCACATCTCTACCAAAGAGTTAAAAAACTCCCAACCTGCAGGAGACGTCTTGTCCAAGTGGTGGTAGACCAAAGGAAATCCTGTCACCACACCTAATTGCCAGAAAAAAATACACTAACAGAAAAAAAAAAAAATCTCAGGCAGGAAGTCACTTATCTACAGCAACTGCCTGGTGCAGCAGAGAAATCTGTTTTCCATAAAGCATCATGTGAACAGAGTGCACATGGGGCTTGAGGGATGGAAACACATCCCTTGCCCTGGGACCAGGCACCCTTGGCCTGCTGCAGTTATGAGTGATGATGCAAGCAACAGTCCAAGTGCCAGCATCACCTTTCACACCAGTATTCCCACCAGTAAATCAGAGAGGTATGATGCTGCCATGGCATTTTGAGGAAATCAGTGATGCTCAGAGCAAGCACTGGCTTTGCTTTCACAGTAGAAACACAGGAAGCAGCTCCAAGGGCTAAGAAGCTACTTTTATCCTTTATTTGTTGAAAATGTCAATTAAAAAACTGTTCAAAATAAAAACATGTTAGAAAAGTTGAACTTGCATAAGTAGTTTACAGTAAATAAATCCACATGACAAAGATACACTGGAAGGCAGCTGACACAACATCCATCTAAAGACAGACTCACTGGAACCTATTTACAAAGCACTGTAAACAAAGTAAATATGGAAACATTGCTGTCCATCTGGCATGGCTTCTTTTCCTTTTTATTTTATTTTCTTGTCTTTTTTTGGCTTCTAGCTCTTGACAAACACTTGATCCAAAAAGTCCCAGTGTGCCCTCCATCACATTACATCTCACAAACATGCATATGTACATAGCATGGGTTTCAACTGAGCCTGGGGGGAGTAAGGACACATTTAGACCCTCTCCCTGGAGTGTTAGTGGCCCTTGATTTGTTCTGCATGTCAGCAACCCAGTCCCCAGCCCAGCTTGCAGCAGGTAGTGGGGCCAGGCAGTACCGAGGGGTCTGGGCATGGCCTCCCCGAGCAGCAGGAAGTGCAGCAAAGGTCCTGCTCCTGGAAAACAATTCACAGGCACAGCAGGGCTTGACTGCTGACCAAACCACTCAACTTTGTGCCCAGGGAGGAATGTGGGGAGATGCCATCTGGCTGGGATGTCTGGGGATGGCAAATGTAGCCAGACCTCTGTTTTACTCTAGAAATAGCTTAAAGAGAGTTTCTTAATACACATCTTGAGATGTTTTGGAGTCTGTATCTCCCAAAAGAGCATTTGCAATGTCCTGGCTAAATTTTAATGGCAAGGAGGGAGTTGCAATTATTGCCTCTGTTATGTCCTTCAAAACCAACATAATGGTGTAACTGTAATTAGCTGTGGTGCCTCTGCACACCCTCGGACCATGATGCCCTGTGAGATAAATAAGACATAATTAACTTTAACAGAGGATTATTTTTATAATGCTGTTAAGGAAGGAAGGAATGAAAACACCAGTTCTAAACTAGGGCATAACACCAAATAAGATAAGGAGAGCTGATACATATGCATGTTGCCTGTGTGCTGTGTTCAAGGATCTGTGAGGGTGTTGTACATCCTTGCCTCAGGAGCGTTCCAGCTCTTGTCAAAGCATAAATACCTTCTCTATCTCAAGAGAAAGTTCCTTTTCCCTAGCAGAAAGTCCCTGTGCAGTGATGTGGGGAGAAGTAGCCACTGGCAACATTCCCAACCTTTGGGAAGGAGCGATGGAAA